TTCTGTCCGAAGTTATATATAATTCATCCAAATATAATTCAATATGTTCGATTCTATAGTCGTGAAGGCATCCACTAAGAACTGATGGAATAATTTTCCGGACATAACCCGTAGACGCTTCTCCATATCTCTCCAAACTTCGATAAGCATAAAATTCCCTCATGCTCACGGTTTTCCTTTTCCGTCCAGCAGTATCTACAAAACCTATGTCAATCCCTAACCGGTAGCCGTCCTCTTTATATTGTAAAGGTAAATATGCCAGATGCAGCTCGCTTATTCTTTGTAAATTTCCTGAACGGCCTTCTATAATAATGTCACGCTTATTCTCACCGCAGTTTAAATCACCAGGAATCAAAGCAGCAACCTTATTGCAAGTAGGTAGATTATGAGTCCTCGCATCAGAAGCTCTATCCGAAGGCAAACGTAATTTTAAATCTTCCACACCGTGATCCATATTGAACCTCTCTCTTGCCGACCTAAAAGCCCAGACGTATGGATTATGATTATCAAGCATCTTCTTGATTAGCTCTACAGTTGAGGGCCTCAAATTTTCAATCGATGCAGATCTTCTATAAAAACACCAAAAATGTGAATTATTTTTTTGAAAAATTAAATTAAAACATTATATAAGAGAACACAAAGATGTTATTATTACCCGTATGCATTTATTCTATTAGGAACCTCATTCTGTATATCATGAATATATAGTTGTAAGAACATATGTTTTTCCCGGTTTAGGCAAAATATCACCACGGTGATAATTTTCTCCACACATTTGAAACAGATAGGGTCCAGCACCATCATTAACAGAATGGTTAACCTTGCCTCCCTAAAGATGTGAACGAAAAAAACATATTGTATGCTCTTATATTATCACAAAAATTGATGCTCCTATCATCGTGATTATAGACCAACGATGACAACGTATTCGGTGGAGGTTTGAGAAGAGGAAGTTTAACTTTTCCATGATGACAACACTTTGAAAAAACTGGCTTTCCTTTTTTTATTTTTTTATTCACACGTTCTCCAAACCACATATAGGCTCCACAATTCTCACATGTATAAAAAGGATCGCCATCATCGTAATATCCTGCGCAAAATTGAATACATAAGCGCTGCTAAATTTCCTTTATTTTAATATATGATTTACATACTACTATTATTATTATTAGTGATAGTAATCGAATAAGAAAACTAAAGTGGAAACCAAACAAACCGTTCTCTTGTAACCCAGCTCTAATAGCCGTAAATCCGCCAATTACATTAGACGTTGTACTATCATCACCATGTTCGGTATCAGACTCGTCAGTAGACATATCATTTTCGCTTCCTCTATTTGACTCCG